ATTTTACAATTGTTGAATGAAATGTTGAGTATTACGCTCGAAGTTCGAACGATCAACTTAAAACTAACAATATAAGAGAGATATTAGTTAATAATATAAGAATAATGTTAAAATACTCTCCAGTACAAAATGCAAGGAAAGACTCGGAACACCTAGAAGCTATTATTATAAAAATAAAATAAAATAAAATAAAATTTAATTCACCACAGTAGTCGGTATCTTGAAGTGTATATGATATATTTAATGTAAGCATATATTAAATAAAAAAAATACAAATAATAAAATCAAAAATAAATTATAAATAAAGAAAAAGATAAAAGTAAATAAATCGCATTCTTTTTGTCCGGCCTCGTTCCCAAGAGCCGTTACTTATGACGTCATGAATTTCAAACGTGCAACTTCCTAAAGAATACCCAGCGGAAGACAAAGTAATTCCTCTAACTACCACACAGACACCACAATGCTTCGTGTTAGTGAGTACGAATATTTTTTTTTTTTTTTTTAAACAAAAGTAACAAAATATGAACTTCGGACACTTTATCCACAACTTCGATTGCAATATTCAGCACCTCATCCGAAAATTGGAAAAATACATTAAGAAATGAAAGAGAAAGACCTACTGGATTCTTTTTGTTGTTATTATTGTTTGTTTTGGCAGTGGTATTCCCTCTGTACAGGGATCGGGAGACATTCCAGGTAAAATGTTACAGAATAAGAGACAAACTATATGCGACTATGTGTTGAAAATAACGGTTAACCCGAGACTTGAACAGGTTAAGATTGTAGTGATCGGAAAAATAACATCTTGGGAGTCGGTTCTACAAGTTTGTGGAAAAAGTTACTTGCAAACTACTTTAGATAAATAATTGCTGCCTATATATATATATATATATATATATATATATATATATATATATAGAATAAAGAAGAAATATAGTTTTTAAAGTGTGCTGTATTTATGAGATAAAGCGATCAATATCAGAGATAGAGCGTATGTAAATATAAATATAAAAGTGAACATTGAAGTCAACACTCAGACGCGACAGGTTGTTTCACGCTAGACGAAATCGTCTATATATATATATATATATATATATATATATATATATATATATATATATATAATTTATTTATACTTATATATATATATATATATATATATATATATATATATACACTGCGTGCCAAATTATTATCGAGATAACTTTTTTTCTAATATTTCAAAAACCGTCCAATCAATTCACACAAAATTTTCACACAATGTTGGCAACACTGAGCTACGCAATCACTGAAATTTTCGTACTTCAGTGTGTTCTAAGTGCAATCTTTATACCTCAATTCGGCCAAGTCCCCGTATAAAAACCGCTTAGGGACCTTATCGTCAATTATACTAACAACATGACCACTCCATCGCAAACAGCGGTGAAGTACTAGGCTCTACACACACACACACACACACACACATATATATATATATATATATATATACATATATATATATATATATATATATATATATATATATATATATATATATATATATATATATATATATATATACTGCGTGCCAAATTATTATCGAGATAACTTTTTTCTAATATTTCAAAAACTGTCCAATCAATTCACAGAAAGTTTTCACACAATGTTGGTAACACTGAGCTACGCAATCACTGAAATTTTCGTACTGATCTGCGCAATGTAAACAAACTGGCGCCATATTTGTTATCAGCACGGTGATTTGAGCGTGCCAAATTATTAGAAAAGTATAAGAATTTAGTGAAAAGATGGGCCGTAAAAGCAGCTTAAGTGATGCTGAAAAGAAAACTATTACCTCAGAACTCTCAAAAGGTAAATCTACCCTAGAATTTTTTAAAATAATAGGGAAATGTCATCAAACAGTGAACATTCACTGCCGACCCTACACAAGTACGCAAAAGGGCAGATAAAGGCAAGCCGAGGGTTATTTCACGTCGTCTCATGTCATGACTTAAACGAGAGGCCACGAAGAACCCTGGACTTACCAGTCTCTAAAGTTTTGTTCACAGAAGAAGCTCGAGCAACACTTGATGGGCCAGATAGTTTGTGCAAAGGCTGGGTAATGAATGGACAGAATCGCCATCATTGTTTGAGATGCCAACAAGGCGGTGGAGGCATAATAATCTGGGGTGGTATTATTGGAAAAACATTAGTGGGACCATGGAGAGTACCAGATGGCGTCAAAATGACTGCTGATGCATACATAGCGTTTATGAAGGAGCATCTTGAACCGTTGGTGAAAAGGCAAAGAGTTGCCTTCAGAAGGGCCATTGTTTTTCATGCAAGATAATGCTCCCTCACACGCTGCTTACAAGACTACTGAATATTTGAAACAGTTAGGCTTCGATGGACCTCGAAAAATGAAGAGGCCAGCAAATTCTCCGGATTTTAACCCAATCGAAAACCTTTGGAGCATCATGAAGCGAAGACTGTACGCCAACGGACGACAATTCAGGAGCAACACTGAGTTGTGATGACATCCTACAATTAACAAATTCTATGGATCGTCGACTTTTTCAAGTAATTTCAAAACAGGGAAAGCACATTCCCTATTAATTTGTTTAAAACTGTACCTTTGTTTGTATCTGTTATTATTTGTTTAATTATTTTATTTATTAGATTCTTTTGATCATAAACATTCACGTTCAACATTAATAAACGTTTTGTTTGCTCAATTCTGGGAATTTTACTAAACCTTTATAATAATTTGGCACGCTCAAATCACTGTGCCGATAACAAATATGGCGCCAGTTTGTTTACATTGCGCAGATCAGTATGAATATTTCAGTGATTGCGCAGGTCTGTGTTGTCAACATTGTGTGAAAATCTTGTGTGAATTGATTGGATGTTTTTTGAAATATTAGAAAAAGTTATCTCGATAATAATTTGACACGCAGTATATATATATATATATATATATATATATATATATATATATATATATATATATATATATATATATCCGATGGACTCTAAAGGACAAAAAACGCATCACAGGAAAACTTTTACTCTTTTGCAATACAGCTTTCCATGAAAACTGTTCTTGATATATAAACATTTATATATCGTTATCCTATATATATATATATATATATATATATATATATATATATATATATATATATATATATATATATATATATATATATACATGGGTTAGGTATAAGGGTTACTAGTCTACACAAACCAATACGTCAATTCTCACATAATATCCGAGAAATGTTTGGGATCGGAAGAAGTAGCTTCTTATATGCCACTAATTACGGTAACTACTGTTAACTTTTAGTGTGGGGGCGTATTTCTTAATCCCCCACGAGGATCGATATCACTCTCGAACGCATTGTACAGCCGTGTTTGTTCTTTACTTTCAGTTGAATAAGACAAAAAATTAATTTCTCAGTGCCTTGATTCATATATTGTTAATAAATAATGCAATTATTAGCATTCATGTAAAAAAAAAGGTGCAGCTTGGCACAAACGTGATGATCCCCTAAGCGGATTGCAGTACTATAAATAAAAAAATAATATACGCTTTAGATGCATTCAGTGTCCTAAAGCTCCTGTCTATTTAATACTTAATTCTCTCAAAATGGTCTATTCATCTCCAATTCTATATTGACTCAATATCATCTTGCTTAACTTTCTGTCAGAAAGCTGATTTCCTTCGTTTTTTCTAAAAAAAAAAAATTATCAGCCCAGTAAAATGTGAGGCTTCAGTTTCTATATTTAATGTTTGGTTCTCTCAAAATAGTCTACAACCTCCATTCTATAATGACTCAGTATGCTATTGCTTAACTTTGTCATAAAACAGAGATTTTCTTCTTTTTTGTAGGAAAACATTATCAGCTCAGGAAAATGTGTACTGAAGCTCCACTCTATATTTCAACTTTGTTTTTTTCTGAAAATGGTCTACGACCTTCATTCTATACTGACTCGGTAAGCTGTTGCTTAACTTTTCTGTCATAAAACAGAGATTTCCTACTTTTTAGTAAGAAGTAATTATCAGAAAATGATGGTCCAGAAAAAAGTGCATTGATATTCCAGTCTGCACCCCCACCATTCTATACTGACTCATTAAACTGTTGCTTAACTTTCTGTCACCAAGTAGAAATTTTCTTCTTTTTAATTAAGCTTCATCTTACTGAGAAAAAAAATGGTAAACTCAGTAAGAATGGCACTCATTTACTGTGGCCATTATCTGCGAGACTAAGTTCCCTAAATTATTACGTTATACTTTATAATTAATATATTCTTTTTAATAGTTCCTCCTGCAGGATTGTTCAAAGACGAGGAGGAAGGGTGAGTGAACTCATTGCGATAGTTCTCTCTAAATCTATGATAATTATTGCAAAAACAAAAATGAACTCAATTTTGCAATCAGTTTGGCAAGTGCCCAAGTCCGCCTAACTCATGGGCGATGAAATTTGATTCAAGAAACATATTTTTAATCTCAAGACACGAAAGCTTTTCTAATTTTGTCTTTGTTTTCGATCAGTGATTTATTTATTTCTGAATGTCTTCCTCGATTTATTTTCTATTTAAGATCTAGCAGTTCCTGAATTCATTCGATTGTGCACATCTTGGAAAAGGTCAACATGGCCGCTCCTCAAGCAAGAGAACGTGTTTCTATCATTAGCATTCCAGAAATGCATTTTCAAAAAGAAACTTCACCACTTGCCCTTTCCTGGACTTGGCCGGTCACACTAAAGTCAATCCTTGCTTCCCTCTTTCTTTCTTATGTTCTTCTCTCATTCAATTATGCAGTCGTTCCTTTTTTCCTTCCTTCCTGGATTTTTTTTTATTCAATATTTGATTAATTCATTCTTTCCATTCACCATTTCCTTCCAGTCGGCATTTATTATCAGTGAAAGGCTTTGTCTTTTCATTCTTCATCTTCTGATTTATTTTGTATTTACTCAGACAATCCTGCTCTCAATTAATCTATTCATCCCTTTTGTACTTACGTCTTTAATATTTTAATATTGATCTCTCTAAAGCGGACAGATGAATATGGACCAGTTGGGATAGATAGATAGATAGATAGATAGATAGATAGATAGATAGATAGATAGATAGATAGATAGATAGATAGATAGATGTGATTATATTGAAGCAAATGCATAAACACCTATGTATAGAGTGGGATATATCGACAGAAATCTATTATTGGATTGGGATAGTCATTAAATATTTCGTTAGAAGAAATTATAGAAGTACTGGATTGAAATGTGATATCTATCCTCTCCTTATATGGCGATGAATGCTGGACAGTCTCCCTACGAATCAGGATAAAACTAGAGACAGCTGAAATGTGTTTTTATAAAAGAATACAAAGAACAGTCATGGATTCCTGTGTATTAGCCATTTTCTAATATGGCAGTGACAGATGAGGAGAAAACAGAGGCGGCAGAATTGTGGTTCTACAGAAGGATACTAAGAAATGTGTGTTGGATTACTATGTTTTATCCATTTTCTTATATGACAGTGAATGTTTTACAGTCTTCCTATGAATGAGGAGTAAACTAGAGGCGAAAGAAATGTGGATCTACAGAAGGATACAATGAAGAGTCTGGATTTCTACTTGTTATCCATCCACTTGATGATGAATAATGGACAATGTCCCCACGCATGAAGACAAAACTAGAGGCAGCAGAAATGTGGTTCTACAGAAGGATACAAAGAAAAGAGAGATGGATTGCTATGTGTTATCCATCTTCTTATATGGCAATGGATACTGGACAGCCTTCCTACGGATGAGGAGAATACTAGAGGCAGCAGAAATGTGGTTCTACAGAAAGATACAAAGAAAAGAGAGTTGGATTGCTATGTGTTATCCATCCTCTTACATGGCAATGAATGCTGGATAATGTCCCTACGCAGGAGGAGAAAACTAGAGAAAACTATACGCTGAAGAAATATGGTTCTACAGACGGATATACTTGAAATTCCATAGACCGGGTTAGTAAACAAAGTGTAAATCTTACTTATTATAAAACGCAGATTGTGTGTGTGTGTGTGTGTGTGTGTGTGTGTGTGTGTGTGTGTGTGTGTGTACGTACATTTATATATTGGATTGGATTTCCTACATTTTTCAACCAATATCAACAAAACTTCACAGGACTGCGTAAAATTACCTTGCGGTGGTTCCAAAAATTGGAAAAACACAATTGTTTTTGCACAAAATCAATTTGAAAACACAATAAAACACGATTCTGTCACCAGAATGAAAGGGGGACAACTCATATCGAGTTATACTTATTATAAAACCCAGGTTGTTTGTGTGTGTGTGTGTGTGTGTGTGTGTGTGTGTGTGTGTGTGTGTGTGTGTGTGTTTATATATGGGATCGGATTTCCTACATTTTTCACCCGATTTCAACAAAACTTCACTTTTTTTGGCAGGTAGTGTTTCTTATTATCTTGCACACTTTTTTTCTTTCTTTTTACATTCAGAATGTTTTTAAAATTCCATTTACAAGACAATTGTTTATGATAAAATTCTATTCAATCGATAGACTCATAACGATTGAAAACAATGTTTTTGTTTGAGTTTGACCAATTCGTAAAAAAAAACAAAAAAAAAAAACTAATTAAGACATGCGTGTCCGTCAACCTTAAACAATAATCGTTGTCAATTTTATTTTTCAGTCTTTATGATGGTCGATACTTGATCTATCTCTTACTGTTACATCCCCGGGCAACGCCGGGCTCTACTGCTAGTCTTAAATAAAATGGGAATAAAAGGAACGCTTATGCTCAGAATCAGGAAGAGATTGCTGATATTCTTTGGACACATAATGAGGAAAAAGGAATTGGAAAACTTAATCCTCACATGGCGTATTGAGGGCAAGAGAGACAGCTACTCATCTTAAGAGTTTGTGTGAATAGATGATGAACCAGGAGACGGCAGCCTTTACAAAGTTAGATGAACTGCTAACTAATGATATTTTGGAGAGCCATGATCACCAATGTTCTTAAGGAACACCGTACATAAAAGAAGCTAGTGTTACCATACCAACAGAGTGGTTTAGCTAGTTTTACAACATCTCTATGTCTATCTTCCTTCGTCTAGAATTAGATATTAAATTATCTTCGTCTGAGCGTATCCACTTACCTCACAATCTTAATATGTCAATATTTCTGTACGAGTCATTCTGTCCGCTACCCGGAAGTGAATTTGCCTTCATCACCGCCAATCAGTTTTGTAGTTCATATAAAATGAAATACAGAATTCTTCACAGGGTCATAATTCCCAAATATGTGTAGGTGTATTAGCGTAAGAAAAGGCAAGATAACAGGACAAAGACAGCTAATTCTAGACTGGAAGAAGTTAAGATTTAATTAGTGAATAAAATTTTCAGAGTTCAGGCGGAGAGATTAGAAGTATAGAGTTAAAGTAGAAGGTACCGGAATCCAAATCCTAAACAGGAAACAAGGGATAAGACCATGTAGGAGTATGAAGCACACACAATATATATATATATATATATATATATATATATATATATATATATATATAAAGAAAAGAACAGTAAGATATATAATCCGGTGTTCTTATAGATATTTTTATTTTTACAAAATAGTGCTCAATGTAAATTTACAGCGCATTAATATTATAAATTAATTGATTTAATATATGTTTTTTTTCGCTACACAATTCTAACCATGTTTCAAAAATGGAAGCTAAAAGCTCCTAATTTAATTTTGTAATTAAATTAAAGATATTAGTTCCATTTCATCCTCAAGCGAATTTTGGAATAACTTTTAAAATTACTGGGTTTTAAAGACACAGCTAAAATCATAATTCATGTTTCCAAGGTTACAGATAAATCCACTTCCACTAGACAAGGGGTGTCTGCGTGTTCATTATGTCTGTATTTTGATATATATATATATATATATATATATATATATATATATATATATATATTATTTAGCTTTTGCTGCATCAATGATTTGCAGCTTCAAATGCTCTCGCGATTTTAGTCGATCGCACAATCTCCAGGTGGTGGAAAATAGCGAGAGGATATGAAACTGCTATTCATGAGTACAGAAATATATATATATATATATATATATATATATATATATATATATATATAATTATTTATTTAAAAATATGATTCCATCGCTACATAAGTTCTCATGTTTCAAAACAAGAGCCGAAAACTTCAATATAATTATTTGAATTAAATTAAATTAAATTAAAGTACCAAAATTCAATTGAATTCATTTGATTTGTTTTCTCATCTTTATTGTTTCAATGTCGTCGAATTATTGCAGTTCTTTCAATGTTTTTTATTCGGAATAATCTTTATACAATTTCTGATGATACTCTACTCTCGTAATCAGTTAAACTTTGCCGCGGATTCTACCGAATGAAATGCCTTGTCTTAAACCAAAGCTAAACACTGGTTAGTTATGTTCTATTGTGTTTTGTTACGTTTTTTTTAATCTATTGTTTGTAGATGGTATATTATTAAGTAGCCGGTGCACATCGAGGTGGTGTAATGGTTAGCAAGCTTGTCCCGCGAGAACAATTACGACTGAGTAGTGAGTTCAATCCTCACTGGATGCCCCTTACTTTCGGCCTTGTGCCACAGCTAAGCTTGGAAAATTACTATATTATTGAGTAGCTATTTCTAATATTTTCCTATTCGCGAGGGTGATTTTCATGTATTTTTCGTGTCCATAAATATTTTCTTTAATAATTCTATATGTTCAATAAAAATGATAGGATGATAGTTGCTAAAGTTGGGAACTAGTGTTAACTTGAAGCATTTCTCTTTGTTATTGTTATTCCCGGCCGTTTTCCCTATTATCTGTGATGCATCCTCAAGGTTGTCTATTTGCTATTAATACCGTTGATTGGATTTTCGTTATTTCCCAAGGCTTAAAATCTATTTTTAATTTCTAACAGATATTCGGTTGTCTTTGGCCTTATCAGAACACGTTTTCTTTTTTCAAAACATTTTCTCTCTCTCTCAATTTTAAAATCAAATTTGAAACTATATTGGCGTGGGGCTTGAGGGTTAAAATGGACAATTGCTTTACCCACGCCAAGAAAATTAATGGAGAATGATAATGACGAGGAAACATAATAATAATTTTAACAAAGCAAAATAAGGAATTTATTTACGAATTTCCAAGCTTGTAGTTATGTCAATTGTTCGTTTCAGGGAAATAAATCAGAAATATCTCAAATCTGTAGCCTTAACGTATTGTCTTGGAGAGGAAATGTTCATACAACAGATTAAATGATCTGACAAAATAATATCAAAAGTGTTTAAAAGAAAGTTAAGAGAGTTTGTTGCTCACCGAAAAGATACGTTTGCATACATTCAAAATTAGACGGAGAGAGATAGCTTGAAATACTTAACTTTCTTGGATTGTTGAAAGTTCTTTGAAGCGCAACGTTCTTGTTTAAGGCCGAGACTATAATTGGCGAATAATCATGCACTGGCGAGAACTTCAACCCTGGTCGCTATGAACAGAAATGAAACCTTTCACGTGACTTTAGACGCGCTTCTTCTCATTTTATATCAAAAAGAATTTCGCATAGGCTCGCTAATTTCTTTTCTTTCTTCTACTTGGCTCAACGGCCATTCTCTGTGAAGGGAAGATTTTCATTGGTTCAAATAAATTTCACATAGGTTCGCGAATTTCTTTCTGTCTTTTTCCTCGGCTCACCCGAATGTGAAGGGAGTGGATAAAGGGAGTTATTATTATTTCGTACTGACCACAAAACAACTTCTATGATCACTTCCTAATTAAGTTCGTTTATGACGGTTAAATCACGTGTCACATCTTTGCCTGCGATTATGGAAGCATTTTAAATTTACTGTTTTTTTCCGCCCTGAAGTTAATTTCATTTTTTTTTCTCCATCTGGGCTTTCCGAGTCCATTTACCTCCCTTTCATTTTTGATATAAGAATGTATTCCCTCTGGATAATTAATAAATATTTTACCTTCGTTTTTCTTTTATTTTTTACAATAATGCTCAACCTGGGAAAAGCCCAGAAGTCACTCAAGTTAAAGGGTTACACAGTAAGAGACGAAGTTTACGCAGAAAGATGAGTTCTTTTTCCTTACTCCAACCCTTGGGATCTCCATGGGAACCAGTGA